TATGCGCAGTTTTTCCAATTTGAAAGACCATTTTTCAATATGTTGTCTTCCACTTGATCTTTTCATCGAATTCGTGGCCTTCCCCCTCCGTCTGTACAATCAGTTGTCTTGCGTTTAGATGCCCTTTAAGCTGGTAGATCCTCGTGCAACAAACAACGAACACAGATGTTCGACATATCTGTGGCGATATCCGTGTATAGATGTATAATTCCTTGTTCATTCTACGCCGATATTCACCGACGAAGCAGGTCGGCTGTATATCTTTCGGAGATTTTTTTCTCAAACACTCCTAGAGCTGCCTCATCTGCTTGCACAAGTATCCATGCTTCAGATCCATACACTAGCACGGATAGTATCAGCATCTTGTAGAGTGTGAGTTTGATCTGGCGAGAGGTGGACATGTTCATAAACATTAAAAAATCTCAGAGATCTATCATAAATATCGATATATCGATCTCTATCAACATACATCTAAAATCTAACAATTGTATGGGGTCTCTTTTAATGTGTAGCAAATGGAATCATAACCTATTTCTACAAAACTTAAAAGAGGTCATTCTAGGATTTTTCTGGTACGTTATGCAAAAGCTCGTAATAATCGGAGAAACGCCTCCGGTTGTGAACCGATCTGTCTGAACCGATTTAGGGATGACTGGAGTAAAAAGGATCGTGTCTTTTGAAGGTGGCAGGGGAATATCAAAGATCACCGCTATGTGATTTTGTTAACTTCTACCACCTGAAAGATGATAGCTGCTAACATGCCCTGATGATGTGCTATTGTCACGGCGAGGATTCTATTTGGAAACACTTCACAATTACTTCAATTATATGCGGTGTTCCAATTTACTTTAGTCCACTCTTTAGGTTAGACCCTATATAACAGTACCTTCCACATTTCTGTTTTTGGGGGGCGGTATTTGGGCACTTTTTTGAAAATATTCCTACAAAAGCTCGGTCGACCGGACTTAGCGAGGTTTTTATTTGTTTTATTTTAAAGAGATTTGCGAACTAGCGAGTGTCGTCTTTGGAAGACGTATCCAAAATCTTTAAAAATACAGGCGCATATACCTAAACGCGACCTGGTGAATTAACGTTTTATAGATCCCGTCAACTTTGGATTTAAACCCCTGTTAAAGGCTACACGAGCAAAAGGAACTACTGGAACAAAAGTTACTAGAACGAAAGAATCGGATCTAGTACCATTTGCAGAATAGTTCCATTGAACTAGTTCGTTCTGGATCGACTCAACTATGGATCGTTGAACATGTGTTTAATTGTTGCATACCCGGTTTAAATAAGACCGTCAAATGTCGAAGTTTTTGCTCACCGTTTTATTCGACTGCAATGTCGTGGTTTATCATGATTTCTGGTCAATAAGGAACACTGCCGTGAAGTTATGCGCCGTTTGCGCGAAATAATTCATGTTGAAAATCCCATTAAGAATTTTGCACCGTCTTAACGGCTTTAACCATGGTGGACCATTAAGTGTTGAAATTGAGCGTCGACTAGCGCCCCATTGGAAAAGCCCAGAGTACTCAAAGAGCACTCTGAAGCCAACCCGCCGATACCAATTCGAAGATCCGCCGCTAAGCTTCAGTTCCTCATTGGTGAGGAGCCGAGGACAATCTAAACATCTGCCTTTCTATGGGTCAGGCACCCGATTGATACTGCAACTCCACATCGAGCCGAAGCTCTTCCAGCGAAAACTTTGGGCTAACCAACAGCCGCCACATTGACATTAACTGAATTTTTTTGATCAAGCTTCGTATATACTATAGTATGTAGAAAACATACACTTATCACAATGGGCCAATAGAAATACCTGAAAAGGAGAAAGGAAATAGTTTTTAAATTTTAAAAGGATTTTTGAAGACAAGTGAAGTGGATTTTTATAAAATAATTTTTTGAGCAGTTAAGGCGTGGGTTTTTTAAATAATTTTTTAAGGACCCTGAAGGCCTAAAGCGTAGATTTTTAAAAGAATTTTTGAAGGACCTTGACGGCCTAAGGCGTACAGTTTTGAAAGAAATTTTTTAAGAGACCTAGAAGGTCTCCTATTCAAATAATCTTTTCCGAAACTATCATATATAATAAACCAGTAAGGAAAGTTGTAAAGTCGGACTGGGCCGACTATATGATACCCTTCACCACTTTGCATATCAATGCGCACTCAAAGGAACATACTCATGCCTTTCTGCAACCTATACCAATTTCAACTTCATTCTGGCAGATTTAGAGTCGTTTGAGTACCATGGAATAAATTATGGAAAACGGCACGTACCTCTGTTAAAAATTTAATCGCAATCAGACACCCGTTCGAAATACATATTGACGCTATGGTTGCATATGTACCAATTTCAACAAAACGCAATAACGCCATCAACGTAAGTCTCAATTTGATACGTTGTGCAAAATTTCGTGTTAATCGGACAAATATTAGGAGTTTTGTGCACCAATTATGTAAAATCGAACGAATATATATGTATATGTGGGAGCTAAATCGAAATCTGAACCGATTTTCTCGAAACGTAACACAAAACATTCTAGACCCACTTCGGCATGTTATGCCAAATTTCGTGCAAATCGAAGGATATATAGGGACTTTAGTGTACCATTCACATAGGGAGAGCTAGATTTAAATCCGCACCGATACCACTCATCATTCTAGTCTCAATTCAGTACGCTATGCCAAATTGCGTTCACATAGAAACTTTGGTGCACTATTTACCTAAAATCGGACGAAAAAATATATATGGGAGCTATATCTTAATTTGATCCGATTTTCACATCGTTATAGACCTAATTCAGTACGCTATTCCAAATTTCGTGCACATCGAAAGATTTACAGGGACTTTGGTGCACCATTTACATTAAATCGGACGAAAATATATATGGGAGCTATATCTAAATCTGAACCGATTTTCATAAAATTTAACACACACCATTCTAGACCTATTTCATTACGCTATGCCAAATTTCGAGCATATCGAGTGATATATAGGGACTTTAGTGCATCATTTACTTAAAATCGGACGAAAATATATATGGGAGCTATATCTATATCTGACTCGATTTTCATGAAATTTAACAAACACCATTCTAGACCTAATTCAGTACACTATGCCAAATTTCGTACACATCGAAAGATTTACAGGGACTTTGGTGCACAATTTACATTAAATCGAACGAAAATATATATGGGAGCTATATCTATATCTGAACCGGGTTTCAGAAAATTTAACACACACCATTCTAGACCTATTTCATTACGCTATGCCAAATTTCGTGCACATCGAAAGATTTACAGGGACTTTGGTGCATCATTTACTTTAAATCGGACGAAAATATATATGGGAGCTATATCGAAATCTGAACCGATTTTCATGAAATTTAACACACATCGTTCTAGACTTAATTCAGTACGCTATGCCAAATTTCGAGAACATCAAAGGATATACAGGGACTTTTGTTCACCATTTACATAAAATCGGACGAAAATATATATGGGAGCTATATCTAACTTTGAACCGATTTTCAGAAAACTTGACACATATCATTCTAGACCTATTTCATTACGCTATGCCAAATTTCGTGCATATCGAATGATATATAGGGACTTTTGTGCACCATTTACATAAAATCGGAGGAAAATATATATGGGAGCTATATCTAAATCTGAACCGATTTTCATAAAATTTAACACACACCATTCTAGACCTAATTCAGTACACTATGCCAAATTTCGTGCATATCGATTGATATATAGAGACTTTAGTGCATCATTTACATAAAATCGGACGAAAATATATATGGGAGCTATATCTATATCTGAACCGATTTTCAGGAAATTTAACAAACACCATTCTAGACCTAAATCATTAGGCTATAACAAATTTCGTGCATATCGAATGATATATAGGGACTTTAGTGCACCATTTACATAAAATCGGACGAAAATATATATAGGAGCTATATCTAAATCTTAACCGGGTTTTCCCAACTTCAATAGGGTTCGTCCTTGGGCCAAATGACTTCTGAATGCGACCTGTACTTTCTTTACAATTTAACATCTACAGACGGACGGACGGACTCAGAAAGTGATTCTATGCCTACTCTCAAAAGAAATCATGGGTCTATCTCGATTCCTTTTGCTGTTACAAACATGTGCACAAAGACATAATACCCTGTAGCACAGTTTGGTGAAGGGTATAAAAATCCGCATCGCATGGTAACCCTATACCCATCGCACAACCGAGTATACACGCGTCTCTATGATATAGTTACGTATATACACATGTACATAACATTGTAGTAATATCAAATACAACGTAACCGAGTATACACTACGTAAATTGAATGAACTTTAAGCAGCATGGAAATTGTTACGAAAGCAAAACCAAAACCCAAAACCTTATCCTTGTCATCCAAAAAAAAAACGCTCAATTCTCGTTGTCCGAAAATGAACGTCGGCAGCAATAACACACACACACATCCATTCCATTTATTGAGAAATGGGTGTTAAGCTGTTAAACATTGACTAACTGAAAACGCCAGGCCATACCGTGAATGGATGTCAGACAGGAAGGCAGGACGGAAGGCAGCCATGTTCGCTGGCTGTGGCAAACAGCGTATGACCCCCACTTAGTAGGCCACTCTGTTATCCATGGTAATGCAGTCACATTTTGGGGGTTTAACGCGTTAGACAACCAGCCAGCCAGCCAGTGCGCTAACTGCTGCCGCTGCTGTTAACAAGAAATAATCCGTCGGGTATTGTGTTATTCTATTCCATTGTTTGGTTGAAAGATGTGATAACAAAAATAATTTTAAAGAAAATTAAACGAAAAAGAAGAAAAGAAAATAGTTAAAAGCAGAGCTATTACAAATAACAACAACAAATACATAAATTAAATTTAAAATTCTTAATTACTAATGGCTTTAAGAATTTTGAAAAAATTAACAAAAAGAAAAACAACAACAGCAGCAGCATTAACACCAAGGCAACATGTCTCACCTATTAAAACGTACCAAAAAATCCTGCATTAAGGTAAGTGTCCGTTGTTGCGCGCGAGTGTGTCTATCACGTTTTATGACCGAACAAGTAATTAGTTGGAGAGGTGAGGAGGAGTAGAAGGAGAAACCCCCAACTATTTTGTTAGCTATTTTGTTAGTTTTTGTATTCACCCACAGCTAAATCAATAATATTGATTTAGAAACCCGTAACAATACATGGACATTTATCCTTGTAACGTTTTGTGTTTTTTGTTGTGGTTGTTGTTGTTGCTATTGTTTGTGTCGGACAATCTAGTATTGACGGAGCCCCATGTTAATGACCACAAAACAGGAAATTATAAAATAAATATGGAAATTTTTCTAGAGCATGACAGAAGGGAGGCATTCTATAGCAGGCCTAAAAATATTTCATGGAATTTATGGCGCTTGTACTTCCGCAGGATATTTTAAAATAACTTGTTTTCTTAGAAAGGAAACACAAATGGGGAAAACTTAAATTGAGGTTTTAGGTTATTTATCGTAGCTGTTTTAAAGTTAAATACATTTAAGGAATGTCGGACGACGAAGAATATAAGACTTGATCGGAGCAGTATAGTCGGACGGGGCGACCAACTAAGTTTTTAACTTTCTGTGGTAATACATTCTGAGCTTGGGCAATATTTCGTGATGTTTGCACCATCTTGACCCTCACCCACCCCTAAACAAATATTACTAATATTCAGTACAGTCCTTCTAATTACTTACCCAGATTCCCTTCACCGTGGGTTGTTTTGTCCTTGACCATACCTGGATTCTCATGGAAAATTTCAAAGCGATGAGCGGTATATTTCCGACCTCTAGTGTGGTAATGGGTTACTAAATAATATATGAATACGTAAGCACCTGTAAATATTTAAGTGTAACTCCCACATCCGAGTACATACGACAATATAATTGGTATCAATTTAAAGGTCAACCACTCCTCTTGGATATACTATGAACTTCTCGAATCTATGTCCTTCAGGGGTAAATCTATACGCTATAGGATACAAATTTTGTCGTTTTTCACACAAAAGTCAGGGTCCATTTGACCCGCTAAATATTGACCGAGCTTTATCATAACAGGTATGCCTATTAATTGGCCCGATCCCCTTCTCCATGTAAAAATTGCGACCTCTGGAGCGACCAGAAAATCAGACAAAAATAAAGTTTTTGGTCCATTTCATCCCCTAAATATTAACCGATCATTACCAAACGGACGAACGGACGGACTGCCACACATGTGTAGATCGACTCAGCTAGTCGAGAAATGAGGTCGGTCTAGGACCAATATTCCGCGGCGTTACAAACTCTTGGGGCTGCACAAAGCTATAATACCCTGACAACATAGTTGTGTAGGGTATAAAAACGAGGAAAAAACTATTTGAAAATCAAATAATGGAAATGTGGCAATCTGGTTTTGATTTATGTAGGATATTGTACGTTCGGTTTTCTCAACACCACTCCTTACAGACACCATATACGAATGCATGAAGCTGATTATACAGTGCTTCGGAGAAATAATTAATATAAATTCTGGAGAAACAATCAATTCCGCACTATGATAGAAATTATAACAAATAACAAGTGAAAAAGCGATAAGTTCGGCCGGGCCGAACTTCGGATACCCTCAATATATACCATAGATATACTGAAAGTTACTTAAAATTAAAATATAGGGAACATACCAAAAAGAGTACCTATACCGACAATTCTACAAACCGATTATGGTTCTAAATATTGGTCCTAGATCCCATGTTTCTTTGGACCAAATTTGTTTCAAATATTTTGATTTCATCCAAACTTTGCCCATCTTATTATTTCTTCCAAACTTAGTTCAAGTTCGAATATGGGGAATATTGGTCCACTCCTTCTGGTACCTCCCACACAGGGGCTAGGCCTAAATGCGGGTTACAGTTCATATATATGAATATATATATAAGGTTTCCGCACATGAAATGATTACAATAGAGTCATAGAACCATACCCAAACACGGAACAAATCATATAACTGTTTTAAAATAAATCAGAAAGGAAAGTAGTAAAGTCGGACGGGGCCGACTACATGATACCCTTCACCACTTTGGGTATATTCAACAGATGAATCCTAACAGACGTCGCATTTTTGAAAGACCAGTAAAATGAAATTGAATCCATAAACATGTCATTCTGCAACCTATTCTAAATATTTCATTTGGTCAGATATAGAGGAGCTATATCTAAATCTTGACCATTTTCAAGAAATTTAACACACATCATTTAAGATCTAATTCAGTACACTATGCCAAATTTCATGTAAATCGAAAGTTATATAGGGACTTTGGTGTACCATTTACATTAAATCGGACGAAAATATATATGGGAGCTATATCTAAATTTGAACCGATTTCCACGAAACTTAGCACACATCATTCTAGAATTTATTCAGTACGCTGTGTCAAATTTCGTGCAAATCGAAAGATATATAGGGACTTTGGTACACCATTTACATTAAATCGGACGAATATATATATGGGAGATATATCTAAATCTCAACCGATTTTCAGGAAACTTAACATACATCATTCTAGACCTAATGCAGTACACTATGCCAAATTTCGTGCAAATCGAAAGCTATATAGGACCTTTGGTACACCATTTACATTAAATCGGACAAAAATATTTATGGGAGCTATATCTAAATCTCAACAGATTTTCATGAAACTTAACACACATTATTCTAGACCTAATTCAGTACGCTGTGTCAAATTTACATTAAATCGGACGAAACTATATATGGGAGCTATATCTAAATCTGAACCGATTTTTCCCAATTTCAATAGGGTTAGTCCTTGGGTCAAATAAGCGACCTGTGCCAAATTTCATACAATTCGGATCATAAATGCGACCTGTACTTTCTTTACTATTTAACATGGACAGACAGACGGACGGACGGACGGACGGAAGGACATGCATAAATCGACTCAGAAAGTGATTCTATGCATATTCTCAAAAGGAACCATGTGTCTATCTCGTTTCCTTTTGCCTGTTACAAACATACGCACAAAGACATAATACCCTGTACCACAGTGTGGTGAAGGGTATAAAAAGGGGGGTTATATAGGGACGACTCCAAAAAGGGGGGCGAATATTAAACATTTTTGGTAGGGAGATTTGTTACCATATACAACTACAAAATACCAAATTGCAGCGAATTCGGCTGAAAAACGCGCTTAAGAACCTCAAAATACCGAAAATTGGGGGTATTCTTATACATAGCGGGGCTATTCGAAAAAATTGACCTTTATTCATAATTTTTTGTGGAGTGATTTGAAACCTATTAAGAACTCAAAATACTTAATTACAGCCAATTCGGTGCGAAAATAAGATCAACACCAACCCCCACCCCCCCCAAATACTGCAAATTAGGAGTTACCGTTATATGGGGCTACCAGAAAAAGTCGACCAATATTTATAATTATTTGTGGAACCCAATATAGCAAATTTCAGCGAATTTTGGTACCCAAAATACCGAAAAGTACCCTTATATGGGAGCTACCAAAACAATGTACCAAATTTCAACGAATTCGGTTGAAAAACGCGCTCAAGAACCCCAAAATACCGAAAATTGAGGGGTACCCTTATATGGGAGCTATGCCTAAACGTGGACCGATATATTCCATCTTCGAACTTGACCTGCCTGCAGACAAATGACAAACCTATGAAAAATTTCAGCACCCTACCTCAATTCCTTCAGAAGATAGCGTGATTACAACAGACGGACGGACATGGCTGGTCGTCTTAGAATTTTACCTTGATCAAGAATGTATATACTTTATAGTTTCGGAAAGAATATTTCGATCAGTTACAAACGGAATGACAAAATTAATATACAAAATTAATATATAAAAAACAGTGAGCGGAGCAGTATAGTCGGCGGTCGGACGGACGAAAGGTGTGATGTGATACCCTACATAATTACCACGAAAACCTAACTTTCTGGGATTCTATATTCTGTATATCTGGGTAATACTTCGTGATATTTGACCATAACCGGAACTTCATGTAATATTTCAAAGCAATCAGCGCGGCATTTCCGCCCTCTAGTGGCATATTAGCAATACTAAATAACTTTTTTAGGTTAGGTTGACAGGAATATGATGATAGACACATGTATGTCTGCATTAATTAAAATCAGTTCATATATCTATATGGATCACATAATTAATGTCGTCCGACTTCATGTCAATGGTCCTTCAAAGGTACTATGTCTGTTCTATCGAGGGGATGGCATTTGTTATGCTAGATTTGTATATACCCAAAGTGGTAAAGAGTATCATATAGTCGGCCTCGTCCGACTTTACTACTTTCCTTACTGGTTCAACTTGAACATTTTGAATACATCGGGACCGCCAAGATCGGACAACTTATGATGGTGGAATTGGGATGGGTGAACTAATACAACTTATAAATCTAAAAATTTTGCTTTGAGATAGAATCCAAAAAAACAACAACAGCGTACTCAAAATGGCACATCCGCCAAAAAAAAACCATACATTTTCGAAGCACCGGGTTCGAACAACTTTATGTGGCAGGAACATAGTCAAAGGAAAAACAAGCAACTCTTCTTAAACCCCCGTTTGAATTGGATGAATTTTTCACATGGTTATAGCCTCACAAAGTCAAAGTTTCAAAACTGAACCATGGTATTTAAAATTCCAAAGATTGTTGTTGCAGTAGCTTTTGCGGGTACGTATTTTTATACCCTCCACCATAGTGTGAAGGGTATATTAATTTTGTTTTTCCGTTTGTAACACATCGAAATAACCATTTCCGACCCTATAAAGTATATATATTCTTGATCAGCGTATGGCAATGACGATATAGCCATGTCCGTCTGTCTGTTGTAATAGCGTCTAAACGAATTGAGATAGATTTGTGTGCAGGCAGGTCAAGTTCGATAATGGGCTTTATTGGTCCACGTTTAGGCATAGCTCCCATATAAGGGTACACCCTAATTGTCGGTATTTAGGGGGTTCTTGAGGGCGTTTTTCAAACGAATTCGCTGAAATTGGCTACATTGGGTTCTTATTGGGTACTAAATGTCTCCATAAAAAAAATATAAATATAGGTCCACTTTTTTGGTAGCACCCATATAACGGTACCTCCTACTTTTCCGTATTTTGGGTGTTTTGATCGTATTTTTCCGCCGAATTAGCTGTAATTTAATATTTTGAGTTCTTAATAGGTACAAAATCTCTCCACAAAAAATTATGAATATAAGTCAATTTTTTTCGGATAGCCCCCATATAAGGGTACCCCTAATTTTCGGTATTTTGGTGTTCTTGAGCGCGTTTTTCAACCGAATTTGCTGCAATTTGGTATTTTGTAGTCGTATAGGGTAACAAATCTCTCTACCAAAAATTATTAATATTCGCCCCCTTTTTGGGGTAGTCCCCATATAACCCCTTTTTTATACCCTCCACCATAGTATGGAGGGTATATTAGTTTTGTTTTTCCGTTTGTAAAGTATATATCTTCGAGTTCTTATAGGGTATCAAATCTCTCCACAAAAAAACTATTGATATAGGTCCGTTTTTTCGGGTAGCCCTCATATAAGGTTACCCCCAAATTTCGGTATTTTGGGGCTCTTGAGCCCGTTTTTCAACCGAATTCGCTGAAATTTGGTACTTTGAGTACTTATTGCGTAGCACATCTCTCCACAAAAACTTATAAATATAGGTTCATTTTTTCGGGTAGCCACCGTAAAAGGGTACCCTCCAATTTTCGGTATTTTGGGGTTCTTGAGCCCGTTTTTCAACCGAATTTGCTGTAACCCCCTTTTTTATTTTAAAAGCTACATCGGCCCTTAATTAGACCTAACCCCTTATATAATGAAAACACCATGTAGTTGCTAATTCCTAAACAATATTGTCAATATTGGTCCCGCTTTAGTATGCCTCATATAATATCGCCCTCTAAATTGGAGTATGTTCAGGATTTTATACACATGCTTCACCGTACCATGCGTTAATAATATATGTCAACATTTTACGGTTTTGAGATTTTAGGAAAACCCCCATTGAAATTGCTGAATTTTCTATTTGGTTTACAACAATCGGTAAGAAGAATGTTTTCATTTCAAAAATTTGTCAGTATTTCTATGGTGGAGGGTATCCAAAGTTCGGCCCGGCGGAACTTAACGCTTTTTTACTTGTTCTTTACTCAATCTGGTTCGCTTTCTCAATTCAGTTTGATAGAACTGTTGATTTAGAAGCTCTATTCTCTATTCTCCAATCAGATATTGCATCGACAACGTCTTGTTGTGTTGACGCACAGGAAGAATATTCGTCTCCTCATGAATGGGGTATATCTAAGACATGAGGAGACACCACTCAGTTGCAGCCTCCAGTTTGTCAACAAGGTTTATTTATCAACTAACTAAGTTCTGCCGGCTGATGACTTAAGAACCGTGTTCCTACTCCTGACCTTATCGTGGATAGCTGTAGACTGAGCGTATGATTGAGGGAGTGTGTGTCTAATAAAGGAGGGGGGAGGGAGGGAATATGACCCATAGAACCTTGGGATCATAATGGTGGCCATTATGGACATATAGACCAAATCTATCCGCATCCCTGCTGTCAATGGGGTAAATAGTCTGACCATTGCCCAAGTGGCCGATATTTCCTATTCCTCGTATGGAAGAAACTCTGCTATATAAATGATATAGGTATTGACCTCATTTCTTGGTCAGATATTGCATCGACAACGTCTTGTTGTGTTGACGCACAGGAAGAATATCCGTCTCCTCATGTATGGGGTACATCTAAGTCATGAGGAGACACCACCCATTTGCAGCCTCCAGTTTGTCAACAAGGTTTATTTATCAACTAACTAAGTTCTGCCGGCTGATGACTTAAGAACCGTGTTCCCACTCCTGACCTTATCGTGGATAGCTGTAGAGTGAGCGTATGATTGAGGGAGTGTGCGTCTAATAAAAGTGGGAGGGAGGGAATATGACCCATAGAACCTTGGGATAATAAGTCGTGGGCATTATGCATATTCAAATCTATCCGCATCTCTGCTGTCAATAGGGTAAATAGTCTGGCCATTGCCAAAGTGGCCGATATTTCCTATTCCTCGTATGGAAGAAACTCTGCTGCCCAATGGAGTAAATAGTCTGACCATTGCCCAAGTGGCCGATATTTCCTATTCCTCGTATGGAATAAACTCTGCTATATCATTGACCTCATTTCTTGGCCAAACGCCGTGGAGTATCAAAAAGGTAGAGGTTAAACAGTTCCGAAGATATCACTAGACCCTGGAGAACTCTATCCTATTCGCTCATAAGTTCACGATCCAACGTTTCAAACTTCGCTGCAGGGGAGTTCCTTCGGCGTATAGAAACAAATATATTTTTCTTCCATAGATCTAAACCAGAGACAGTTAACTATATATTTATCGGATGTGCGGATTTTCAATTCCCGTAATGCTAATTCACATTACTCTTTTTTTCTTACATATACATTTTTGTCTATATTAACCTATATATTTCTCTTTCCAGCTCATTCGTAAAATTTCCAATAAACAAATTTTCCTAAAACGTCTTGAGGAAGAGGACATATCAACAGACGTTGACATCTCTGTGGAGGCCAAGGAAAGGGATATCAATCAGAATGAAAATATTTCAATGCAACCGCAACAGTTGCAACAACAAAAATTCTCCACTTGCAACAAGAAACATAAAGACAAAGCACCCTCCTCCCACTCGTCTAGAGAGGATATCACAAAAGAATCCCACAAACGAAAATTACCCCTACATTTAGATGATCTGAATTCCGAAAAGCCGGTTCTACAAAGTCTTACCTCCAAATTATTTCTCACCGCTGATGGTTATGAATTTCAACGTCTTCAACAGTTACGCAGTGATACCGCCTCCGAAATAATACCCTATGATCCGGAATTTAATAAGAATGCCGGACGGGAGTGCAGTCGGGAGAGACCCACCTCATTTTTCAATGAAGAGGAAGATTTCGAAGAGGTGGCACAGAAACAGGAGGTGGTTTTCGAAAAGGTCAAGTACAAAGAAGATGTCCGTTATTTACGTCATACGCCGTCCACCTGTAGTCTAGATAATTACATAATTCACGATGAAGATGTGAATGAGGATTTGGCCCTGCCACGCGATGACGATGACGGGGATGAAGATTTTATAAATACCACCAATCTATTGCAAAATCAAAATAACAACAACAACACCATTTGTTCTGCTCGTAATAATCTCAATGGTATCGATAACCAAATATTTACTTCCTCAAATCATAGTCGATGCCTTTCCGATTCGAAGCGGGAGGTTGATACCACTAGAGGCTTTCAATTGCAACCGCTTGCCATTAATGCCTGTGAATTCCAGGAATCCAAAAAAAGTCCCACTGAACATCAATTGGAGCTTCAGCAATTTTCATCAAACCAACCACAGCTGTCGTATCAACATCACCATCACCACCACCCTGCCCAGCCCTCTAATCAAAATTTGCTTCCACTCAATGTTAGTCTAGGTTGTATTACCGATGGTAATTATCATCAGCTGTTTATTGGCGAACAACGTGATGCCTTCTTCAAACTAACCCCAGTTGTCAAATGGGACATCAATGGCAATTCGTTGGAGGACGATGATTTTCCCGTCTTCGATGCCAATCACCATCTAAATAATTCACCGGCTAAATCCAGTTTGCGTTCCAGTTCCACAACATTGGAAACGTGGCTAGAAGTAGAATAAGCCATCATTTGGAATTGTATTAGTTTGTATATCCTTATTCCGAATTGTATATTTATATATGTATGTATGTATGCAAAAAAAGTGTCCTTAATTGTTATCATGACTACTACTAACAAACAAACATACAACAACAAAATACCTATGTAAATTATAAAGTACGTAATGCACAAGACTCCTACCAAGCTCCGCCCAGATTGAAATAAATTATTCATTATGCAATCGTAATTATATTTATCAAAAAAAAAAAATACAAATACAAACACATGTTTTCATAATATGGGAGAGCATGCGGTAAGTATGCTGGAAAGTGCTACAGGTCTCCCAAAAGGGACCCTCTGCCGGGCATAGGTAAATGTTCGTATATAAAAGACTAAAGAACGTTTTTTAATATGATCTTTAGTATATGTTCAATGTAAGGGCCTTATAAGGTATTCCTTGTAAGGAAGACTTTTAGAAAGCCTTGGTTTTATAGAATACATGCAAAAATTCCTATATGTTCAATAGACCTACAGAATATCTTATGGTGGCAGAGAAAATTGGTATCTCCACGTTTTGCAACGTGAATGAGGATATCCCCATCAGAATACGGGGGTAAAGATCGCAGTTCCTCTACATAATCGACTATATCTGCAGACCACTTGATTTCACCACCTGTGAACGCCGCACTTTCCTTGGCCATAGGAAATAGAAAAGCCAACTGCAGGGGTTCAGAGAGTTCATCGACATGCGATTCCGAGATGTTTGGGTAGCAGAAAGAAAATTCTGGGACATCATTGCAGCTGCAGACGCTAGAAGTATGATACCAGATGATGCCTAATTTTCCAGCAGAGGCAGTTTCTCTTCCAAACGAACCGAATGGGCTACCTCGATCTAACCCAGCAGAACTCAGGTTCAGGAAACTCACGTTGGAGGTCAGCAGATTAGTCGCGAAGCAGAAGAACAAATAGTTACACCATCTGAAATGTTGCGACATTGTAACTATGGGCAACGATTAAGTCCCTCTCGAACCCTTAACCACATTTAAGAACAATTTTAAACGACAGTTTGTCAAGCGTCCGGTGACGTAGGGGATGATAGATACCAAGCAGCGGCTCTGATTGGATTTAACATGGCAAAGCCCAACCTTATCTTGGTTCCTCTTTCATCTCAATTGTGGACACTGACTTCCCGCGGTGTCAACTGGGGTAACTGTTGAAATAGTCAGCTGATATGTGCCGCGATTTCACCCATAAGAACTATAAAAAAATGGGTTGAGGTGTTGGGTTTGTTTGTTTTAACACTCGAAAAACCCCCCTTACTATGAAAAAGCAACGAAAGTGAACATCAAACCCCCCAATGTTGGCGATCACCGCAAACGTATAAAGGACCACGATCTGCGAATCTGCACTTGGAATGTGCGCTCCTTGCACAGAATAGGCGCAATTTTCGCCTTGGCGGATGTACTCAAGAAGTATAAAGCCGATATTATTGCCTCACAGGAAATGCGATGGAAAGGGTCTGGCGTAAATCATCTGATTTGATTTAGCCCTATATTAAAGCTGCCACGAAACGAGACATGAATTTGGCTGCGGATTTATGATTAATAGGAGAATAAAATACCTCGTCTCCAGATTCACTCCGATAGATGAGCGAGTTGCTATAATCCGTATAAAAGCAAAGTTCTTCTACACCAGTCTTATTTGCGCCCATGCTCCGATGGAAGATATATTTTACGAGCGCCAAATGGCCGCTGCCCTGACCATGACATTAAAATTCTGCTAGGAGATTTTAATGCAAAAATCGGAAGGGAAAATATTTTTGGTCCCACCGTCGGAAAATTCAGCCTCCTTGAAGAAACATCCGGCAACGGCATGAAGTTGATTGACATCGCGGCAGCAAAAAACATGGTATTTAACAGCACCAGTTTCAAGCATATCGATATACACAAGGCCACCTGGATTTCTCCTGATCAAGCAACGAGAAATCAGATTGATCATTTCGATCGATACGAGGAGCGAATATCGATTCGGACCAGCCAAGGTTCACATGTGTCTTAATGTAGCAACAAAGGTGCGATCGACGTCAAAAAGCTGCAAGCACAACAAGCGCCAGAAGCGTACTCCGCTGAACTTACCCACTTCCTTGGCGTAAGCAATCCCTGTCCCGATAATAATATAGAAGCACAAAGGCTAATAATTGCCCACACCCTACAAACTGCGGCAAAAGCAACACTTGGGTACCAAAGACACTATCAATAAACCTATGGTACGGTCAGGAGTGTCGTAATGCTACTGATGTTAAAAACGCAGCGTATATGGCAACCCTGCAGACAGTAGTAACACCTAATGCTATGGAGACTTATCTGGAAAACAGGAGAGAGGAGAAACGTATTTTCAGAAAAAAGAACAAAAAAAACGTGAGCGTGAGCAAATCGAGTACAGGAGTCGGAATGAAGTCCGGAAATTTTACCAACCAATATTGGTTTTATTTTATTGGTTTTATTGGTGTAGAGATGAAGAAGGAAACCTGGTGACAGATACAGACCGTGTGTTGCGGATCTGGAAGGAGCATGTTGAAAAATCTATGGTATCAAATAGTGGTGGTGAAGAAGATACCTCAGAACCAATAAGAAATGAAAGTATACCACCTAGCCAAGATGAGGTAAGAGTAGGAATTAATCGGCTGAAGAACAATAAAGCAGCAGGTGCCAGCCGAACTGATGGTCAGATGCTGGTCAGGACATGCACCAACTGATTAGAACAATTTGGCTAGTGGAATGAATGCCCAATGATTGGAACATCAACATCGTGTGCCCCGTGCACAAAAAAGGAGACAAGACGATAAGTGCCAATTTCTTCCCATTACATATATGGTGCTATGCAGCGTGCTGTGTGAACGACTGAAGCCAATGACCAATAACATCATTGAACCATACCAATGCGGCATCGGGGCTGACAAATCCACCATTGACCAGATTTTCACTCTGCGACAGATCGTGGAAAAGACTCACGAAAAACACATGAACACATTCCACCTATTCGTCGACTATAAAGCCGCATTCGACAGCCCTATACGTTCAGAGGTTTTTAACGCCATGTCTGCGTTCGGCATTCCTGCTATGCAGGATAACTGTAAGTACCACAAGGTAAGCATTTAAAGTCGAAAAGGACCACTGGGAGCCCTTCAATACCGAAAGAGGATTCAGACAAGGTGGCAGTCTGTCGTGTGACCTGTTTAACATCCTGCTGCAAAAGGTCATACGAGATGCAAATGTGAACAGAACTGGCACTCTGTACACCAAACAGCATATGTTATTCGCCTATGCCGACGACGATAGTTGCCACCTAAATGGCGAGAAGACCAAGCTGATGGTATCAGCGTGCAAAACGTCCAGTAGACTCGGACCAACTGTGGAACTTGAAAACTAAAGCTTCGAGGTAGTCAAAGATTTTATATACCTCTATACTGCCATAAAGAAAACTTATAACATCAACTTTGAAATTCGGAGGAGAATAATGTTGGCCAACAGATGCTACTATGGTCTGAGTAAGCAACTCAAAAGCAAGGCCACCTCTCGCACCTCTCGATATTATCCGTGCTGCTGTATGAATCTGAAGCATGGACAAACGTATGAGATAGCTCTTGGAGTGTTTGAAAAAAAAAGTTCTCCGGAAGATATATGGGCCGATCGGCGTCGACGCTGAATATCGTGGTCGAATGAACCACGTAGTCAGAGGGATCGAGCTGCAGCGACTACGCTCCATCTCAAAAGGCATATAAAAGCGAGCCAACTAATGGTTCATGCAGAAGGGGAAGGCAACGAATCCGATGGAAAGATCAAGTAGAATACAATATCTCGGAACATGGTCTTTCATTGGATGAAATGCGCACAAGACGGACGCGCCTTGAAATCTTTTATAAGCTCAGCTTATAGAACAACCGTTCTGTCATAAGCCAGCTAAGAATGTAAGTGTGTAACATAGACTGAGAGTATATATCTGACGGCAACGCCGACCGAAACTTTTTTGAATTGTTTATATTAAAAAGGTAACTGATTTGTCCCGTACATTGGGGTTGTTTCCATATAGGCTTATTCGACCATAGTATGGGGAATATTTTTATTCGAAATTGTCAGTTTATACCTTACAAAGTATGGAATTCAAAATATTCGCTAATTCCTACTCAATGTAATCCACATTGGCCCCGCTTTAGGAATAGCCTCAATTAACATTGTCCCCTAAATTGCAGAAATTTTAGAATATTATATGGTTGTTCCAAACTACCATGCGTTATCGATATCGGTCCAAGTTTAGGGGTTTTGCGGTTTTAGAAAAATCATATATATTTTGTTGACCATTTTTTTAATTCGAGACATCTACAAAACCTGATTTTTGAATGCTTCAACATCATCTTTTGGCGACGAAAATCGTTGATTTCACATTTCTTCTAGATATGTGAAAAATCATTAGGTTAGGCCTGAACGATCTGTACGACCCATCAATACTATGTTTTGGCCTGTCATAAAGGCGGTAGTTTGAGCAGATGTGTAAGAGCTAAAATTTCTATTTATACCCTACACAACTATGTTGTCAGGGTATTATAGTTTTTTGCAGCCCCAAAAGTTTGTAACGCCGCAAATATTGGTCCTAGACCCACCTTTAAGTATACCGATCGTCATATCTCGACTAGCTGAGTCGATCTAGACATGTGTGTCCGTCCGTCTGTCCATTATAATTTGTAAACACGATACAGGCCACAGTTATGGACCAATCTTCACGAAATTTGACATGTAGGATTGGTTCTGGCCAATAAAGACCCCTACTGTTTTTGGTAAAGATCGGTTAATACTTAGGGGATGAAATGGACCAAATACTAAATTTTTGTCGGTTTTTCTTGTCGCTCCCATGGCCACAATTAATGCCCGAACGTCGCGAAATTTTACATGGAGAAAGGGATCGGGCTAAAGAATAAGCATGCCTGTTTTGATAAAGATTGGTCAATATTTAACGGGTCAAATGGAC